GCAAAAAAAAGAACTACTCTCCCTCGACGACAATCAGCAAGTGCTTGATTTGAAACTCGCTGCTCGCAAGCCAGGAACCTGTGGCTGGATCTTGGAAAACACCAAATTTCAAGACTTTGTCAATGCCCAAGGTGGGAATGTTACTTGGCTGGTCGGTACAGGTGGATCTGGAAAGTCCTTTCTCATGTCCATGGTCATCCAAGAGCTCAAGAACAAGGCCCACCAGCACGGCTCCCTCGTTCACTTCTTTTTCATATCCAAAGGCTCTCAAGCCACGATGCAGGCTGATCAGATCGAGCGCCATCTTCTTGCGCAGCTGTACCAAGACGCAGCTCAATCGTTGGACGTCTTGGACAAGTGCAACAAGATCATGTCGGATTATATCGAGCACTCAAAGAAGAGTACCAGCAAAACGGCAAGCAAGAAAGCGGGAGATGGACCAGCTGGATTTGAACAGACCTACACCGCTCTTGCTAAGATCATCAACAAGCGAATCTACCTCATGATAGATGCCTTGGACGAGTGTGCCGATAGAGAGACGCAAGAATTCATCCAAACGATCAAGAAACTAGCCAGCACGCGGGGCCTGAAGATCAACGTCTACTGCAGCAGCAGAGATGAACCTGATATTGCTGCCGCCCTGGAAAATTATCCAAGAATAAATGTCGAAGAGAACAACTCAAAAGATATCGCCGAATTTGTTCAAGCTGAGATGGCAAAACTGCCAGGGTTCACGCCTGTGGAACGTGAAGAGGCTTGTCGAGAAATCACGCAGAAAGCAGGATGTTACTTCCGTTACGTCGAGCTGGCCATGGATTTCATGCGTCGTCCATGGCGAAGACCCTTGTCAGCCCATCTAGCATCGCTACCTTCGGGGGTTGAAAATATTTATGCTCAGCGCCTCAACCAGACGAACCCTGCATACTACGATCTGCTCACTCACTGCCTCACCTGGACTATCCTCGCTGGAGAGGAACTGAGTGTCCAAGAGCTCATCGATGGGTACAAGGGTAGTTTCATGGACGCGGAACCGACGTCGGAGAATGACGATGACCAGGAGAATGTGAATATAGAACTTTACGAAGACCAGATCAGACAAGCCGGAAGTGGATTTCTTCGGGTCAATCCCGACCACACCGTGAGCCTCGTCCACAACACTGTGCGCGACTTCTTCCTGCAGCCAGACAGCGTTATCAATGGGGCTGTACAATCATCGGGTGAGCCTGAATGTGAATGTGCTCGATGCCAGAGAGAATTGAAACACAGCAAGAAGTTTGTCGTATTGGAAAGAGAAGGTCACATGCAAATCATCACCACGATCCTTCACCACCTGCTATCTCCGTCGTTTCAGCGCAAGTACTATGTCAAACCACAAGAGGAACCGAATGACAAGAAGACTGAGCAAGACACAGAGGAAGGTGAAGATGTGGCTAGTGTCAAAAGCGAAAACGCCGAAGCACCAGGAGAGGCGGCATCAGGAGAGCTGGCACAAACAGACGCTCAGGGAAAGGATATCCAGAGCAACGGTATTGTGGCGCAGGATCAAGGCCTTGTTGATCAAACAGACAACCTCGATGGCGTACAGCAAATACCCAAGCCCAGCGGTGAGGACGCAACTAAGGAAGGGATAAACGCCCCTAGGGAGCCGTCAAGTAATGGTGTGTCCGATGACCTGGATTCTAAGTCTGCAGTGCCAAACGGTGGTTCAGACCACACACATGAAGGCGACGGTCCGCTGGACGGCGAGGGGCCACAAAGCAACGACAAATCTGGTGCAGCCCTTGAAGCAACAGATACCCAGTCTGTGGCAGACTCCGATGAGATCGTGGATTTGACAGACCAAGACCAAGCTCGACTCTGGGACCTGCAGTCAGATCAAGAGAGCTATCACCCTCGGTACGAAATCTCGAGACTGAGGTGGCATTTGACGCAGCTGGAAGAAATCTATCCCGCCACAGAAAGGTCTGGCGAAGCCTGGTCCAAGCTACGCGAGCTCCTCGAAAGGTTCCTGGACCCCGAGTCTGAGGCGTGGAGAGGTTGGCTCCGAACATTGGCCGCGGCGGGTCTACCAGTTGACACCATCGAAATGTACACCGACGCCAGAGAGCTACATCCCATAGTGCTAGCTGCGTGCTGTGGCCTGACCAGCCTTGCACATATACTCTTGGCCCGGCCTAATGCCTCGGAATTTGTCAACCTCAGGGTGCCCGAGGGGATGGGTGTGCTGTGCTTTGCAGTCTCTTATCAGATTTTAATGCTGAAGAATGTGGATTCTTTTTACCTGGCCATGCTGGAGGCGGGCGCAGATCCGAACACAAACAACCATTGGGGGGAAGAGTATCTCGGAAGCGCGTTTCATTTTCTTCTCTTGTCGGACACGGTGACTTTGGCGCAGGTCGAGATGTTCCTCGCACACAACGCCGATATCAATACACTGGACGAGACTGGAAACAATGGCCTACACTTCTTCGCTCTCGGAGACGCTGGCATGGATATCGGTGTGGCCCTGGTCCAGGCCGGGGCGGATATTCACCTCCGTAATGGCAGGGGCGAGACCGTCATGCATCTCCTCGCCCGTCGGTACAACTGTCACGTTGACGCGATGAAGTATTTCATTGAGCAAGGGGCCGAAGTCGACGCCGAGGATGAGGCCTCCGCAAGGCCTCTGAGAGAAGCCGCCGAAGCAGGACATGCTGAGGCGGTCAGATTGCTGCTCGAACACGGGGCCGACATTGAGGATGTGAATGACTATGAACAAACGGCACTCTTTGCTGCGGCAATGATGGGCAAAACTGAGGTGGTCAAGGTGCTTCTTGATCAAGGAGCCGATCCACTCAAACGGAACTCCCTCGGAGCCACCCCCTTCGGAATGGCTTGCCGGTACGGCGACGCCGAGTCGTCTCTTATCCTGGGAAGAGTCATGGTGGACAAAGGAGCAGTCGAGCACCTCAATTGGCAGAACACTTTTGGGAAGACGCCCATCATGAGAGCCGCCTCTCGAGGAATTTCGGACGTGATTGACTTTATCCTTGATCACGTCGACGCGCAGGCCGCTCTCACCACCGTCTCCAAGAAGGGCTGGTCGGCTCTGCACTATGCGGCGCTCAGGGCGCGCCCTGAAGCGACAATGACTCTGCTGAACCGTGGGGCCGATAGTCAGTGTAAGGACTTGCAGGGTAAGACACCTCTACAGCTGTGTTATGCAAGAATCTGGACGAAACCGACTGAGGACCGAGAGAAAACGATATCTGCGTTGATCGACCACGACCAGCAGGCGGCCATTGCCGAGATTGAGTTGCTTCACACGATGGCGATCAACGATTCACCCAAGGTGGTGGCCAAGCTGTTGGAGTGCGGCGCCAATCCGTATGCCACGGACGAACATGGCTGGAACGTTGTCCAACTTGCCGAGCAATACGACCGACCGGACGTCGTCGAAGTGATCAAGAACTCGAAGCTCGCGACGGCTAGTCGGCCTTCCAAGTTCGTGGGGTCCTTCTCAGCTGCGCTCGTCGGCTCTCCTTCTGGCTTGGAGATTGAGCTGCTTCAGCGAGGTGGCGAGATGGCGGCGACAGAACCCTTATGCTACACGACCGACCAGTCATTCGTCACCGACCACCCCATCCCGGCCTCGGCGGAGCGGTATTACTTTGAAATGACCATTGCCGATCGCGAGGTCAAGGTCGACACGCCAATGTTTGTGATTGGAATCACTCAAAAGCCCATCGGATCCACCAAGCAGTGGTTCCCGGGGTGGTCGAAACCGGGCACCTCGAGCTGGGGTTACCACAGCGACGACGGCAAGATCTGGTGTGTCGCGGACCCTCCTAAAATCAAGGACCTGGGTTTGGCGAGACAGTACGGGTACGGCGACACGGTCGGGTGTGGGATCGACGTGAAGAAGCGCACCGTCTTTTGGACCCTGAACGGAACGAGGTTGATGAAGGCCGGCTTCCAGAACGTCCGTGGTCAGATCTATCCCATCATCGGGATCCGAGATCCGGGCAAGGTCAAAGTCAACTTGGGCCTTGACTTGAAGGAGGAGCCGTTTATGTGGAAGCCTGGTACCACGTGCGACTTTGACAAAGACATCCCGTCTCCGAGTCTGAGGCGGTTGAAATCGGATCGCTGACCGGAAGATTTCTTATTTGGTGAGATGCCATGATTCTTTTGGATTTGTTGTCATTCGGGAGCGAGAATTCGAAGACGAGGCTGTGTCCTTGCCGTGGATGAGCATGTGGTATGTACCAGAATTGACTTGGCTGCATGTTGTTCTTGCTACGAGCCCGCAAATAAGCCACTCACCACTCACTGTATTGGAATAATATTAATCGGCCTTGGCCACGTTATCACAAAACAGGATACATCTACCAGCAATAGGGGGGAGATGCTCCTCTACTATTAGCTCGGCTTGAAGTAAGTGATGGGGACCGCCAGCCTGGCGAATCAAATTGCGAGAAATCCATCTATTCGAACCTATATGGCCCCAGTCTTTAAGCCGAATCCATGAGATATATCATTTCGTGGTACGCCTGCGTATCTATGAGGAATGGGGGAGAGTGTTTTCTATGATATCTCCCCAGAAATAGGTATTTATGTAATGAGCGCCCAACACCACGCACACCCAACGCATGCGAGCAGGAGCAGTCAATGCTCACCACCAGCCCGAGGCTACGACGCCCACGACAGCCACCAGCCCGAGGGTCTCGGCGAAGACAGGGCATCCGGTGGGGCAACAATATCGAGACCGTGGTTGCAATCTGTGAAGTGTATCGTCTCGGTGTGCGAATATATTAGAGTATTAGAGTATAAAATAATAAGGGGCCGACAACATGGGCAATATATAATATATATGTGTGGCACAGACTGACTGACTAGCTAGGTGTAGAGTACCGGTAACCGAAGTATCCCCCTTTCCAAGCAAGTAGGCAACCCAACCCAACGTCCTCGAAAGGCCAGACAGACAGACAGACAGACAGACAGAAATCAGACAGGTCGACATGCCTTCGCCGTATCTATCCTTCATCGAGTCTCGACCGTTGCCCGAGTCCGGCACTGACGCGGCGACGTGGGAGAAGTTTTATACCACTGAACATGTACGTGCTACCTACCCACCTATATACCTATCTACCTATGTCTTGAGTATCTGAGTACCTAAGGCATATATATCCTTGGACGTGACACATTCATCACACACTCTATCACATCTCCAGAGTCGAATAATTCATGACCCTCCTCAATGCAATACCACAATGATACCTAAGAAAAGCATTACTGACCATCCAACTCCCACAGCTCCCTGACTTCGTCAACAGCGGCCTCGCCACCCGCGCGGCCTTTTACCGCGAGACATTCGACTACGCCAGCGCGCCGCCGCCCGAGAAGAGGCCCCCACGCAACTACCTCGCGCTGTACGAGACCGACCTTGAGGAACTTCTCAAGTCCAAGATCCTGGCCGAGGGCGGCGTCAGGGCCGGCAGTCACTTGTTCCCGAACAAATTTGACACGTTTGACAACGGCGAGTTCCACGCCAGGAATTATCGCCTCGTTCAGGACTTTGATCCGAAGGGGTGGGGGAATAGTGAGTCTCACGCCCCTCTCTCTCTCTCTCTCTCTCTCTCTCTCTTATACATGGTGTGTGACCATGCGTGTCGTTTCATGTCATCTTCATGCCCCAATATTGCCAACCAGAGAACCTGACCCTGACCTCTTGACTTTTGACCGTGGCAGAACCCGCCCCCTTCATCGCCGTCGTCGAAATGGATCCCACCGCCGACGCCGAAGCCGACTTCGACAAATGGTACCGCGAAGAACACCTCCCCCTGCTGGGCGAACTGCCCCTTTACCGACGCGGTGCGCGGTACGTGCTCGGGCCCAAGACGCCAACTTCGACCGTCGACGGCGCAGAGCCGGCAAGGTACCTCGCCGTTCATCAATGCGATAGTCCTCGCACGTGGGAGTGTCCGGCGGGCGAGGCGGCGAATAGCACGCCGTGGGCGCTGAAGCATTTCACCGAGAGCAACGTCTTTGTCGCGAGGGGGTGGGAGTTGGTTCATGCGGTGGATGGCGGTCAGGGGACTAGCTAGGTAGACTGATGAGCGGAATGAATGAACAAATGGAGGGACGGACAAAGGATTGGGGATTGGGGATAGGGAGATTTTGTGCGAATTGTTCTGGGCTGGCTGCCTGCCTGCCTGCCGCAGACCTGTTGTCCAACTCTCACAGATCATTAGAGGACCGATGAATGTCAACCACAGAGACGCTGTAATGGTATTTATCGGCTGTTTTCCCCTTGGTGGGACATTGGAAAATGGTTTTTCCACACAGTCTTGATGACAAGGCAAATCAGGCCATCGTCATTACTTACACTATATATATATATATTGTCACACCTATTACCGACCATAGCCTCGTCAAATCTTACATCCCACGACCCTGCCTTTTCCTGCTAGTCACTGTGCCAGATATAGATGCCAGAGTCAGACGTACTTCCGGCTCGTCTCGACGACGTACCTCGCAAACGCCTCTGGATGGGACACGTACGGGAAATGAAAGCCCGGGAGTGTCGTGATGGGGATCTTCTCCCGCGTCGCGATCACCACGTTCTCGAAGAATGCCTGCATCGGCCCCGCGCCCCCGACGGTCCAGTCGATCGGCACCTTGTGCAGGTCTTCCGTCTTGGTGGCCGCCGACCCGGGGATCGTGCGTGGATAGCCGTAAGCCCACCGGGCGTAGTTGCCGCGCAGCCTCTCGTGGACTTCTGCACCCAGTGCGTCCCACGCGGCTTCGTTGGCGGACATGGTCCGGATCGTGGCCGCCAGCTCCGCCGTGAGGGCGTCCGTGTCGGTCACCTCGTGGATGTTCTTGAGACTGTCCGGGTTGACCGTGGGGACCTCGTGCGGCATGCCGTTGCGCACGCGCTCGGGAAACCCCGAGCACAGCGCCAGCACGGTCGTCGCGCCGGAACTGCACCCCCACACCGCGGCGGACTTGATCCCCAGCTCGTCCATCAGCGTGGCGATGTACCCCGCCAGCTTCTGGCCCGTCACGTCCTGGTACGTCTCGGGCGGCGCGGTGGCTGCCGACCGCGACATGCCCGGCATGTCGAAGGTGGTTACTCTAAACCCGCTGCTCGCGATCGTCGACATGGGCTGGTCGAACAGGCCGCAGTCGCCCACGCCGTCGGGGATCAGGACGATGTCCGGTCCAGACCCTTCCTGCTCGTAGTACCAGGTGATGCCGTCGTTGGTGCGGACGTTCGATCTTGTTCGTTGAGCGGGCATAATGTTGGGTGATATTATGGTATCTCTGGTTTTTATTGCCGGGGGATAATGAAGGCTGAGTGACGGTGAGGGTCAAGCCTGTCACAGTATGCTTCAGTGATATACCCCGTACATATTTGATAATGTGTGTACTCGGTTCGGCCCCGCGGTCCCGCAGTCCCACCGTTTTGAGGGTGAGGGGGATGAGTGCCTGACGCTCGGCTGACCCTGACCCCCTGAACCCCGCGGCAGCCTTGCGACCATCCAGATCCCCTTCCTTGTCTTCCTCGCCTGGACGACCGTCGCGTGAATCACAATGAGAGGAGAGTTAAATAGTGCCGTAATACTCCCGCCCATAAACCCCCTTTACTCGCACAGCCGCGGTCTCGCCACTCCGTCCGCACGCGTACGTACGTACGTGTCTGGTTCGTCTCACATTCCTAGACGGTACTCGGTACTCGTCACATGCCGAGTAAACAGCCCTAAGACTCGGGTACCTAGCATCGACCCATGCATGGTCTCAAACCATTCCCCACAAAATCCCATTCCCATCTGATCCATCCATCTGACATCTAACCCAGTTTAACTTGTTCTGGTAATAGTGACGGTACTGACACTGACATTGGGCGTCATCGGATTCGTGGGATGAAGCAGAGCGTCGATTGATGGGTCCGATGGATGTTTGGTGGATCTATATTACCTGGATAGATGGATCTACAAATGAATTCCCGCACCGATCAGGAAGTCATAGACTGCCTCGTTTTTACCGGTCGAGGAATCTCACCGCGATTACTCCTGTCAACTGGAAAGAGTATATCAGACAGGTAACATCAGATCAGATGAGGAAAACATGTCGTCGAATGAATGGATGGTAGAGTATCAAGCATTCATGGCCGGCCATGGGAGTGGGAATTTACTAGGTTAGTTAACTCCTAGGTAGGTAGATAGGTAGGTAGGTAGGTACCTATATAATGACCGTAGAGGAACAATGCTCTCTCTCACGTACCCATTCACTCACATACTCACTCGAGCCCTTATTTCTCCTTGCATCCCTCTCTACCTCTTTCTTTTGGTCGACTCAACCTCAATCTCAAAGGGACGTAGGGTGCCTCAAAAAATCATGAAGCTCAACCTCCCCCTCCCCTCCATCCTCTTCCTTGCCACGACGACGACACTCCTCTCCTTCCCCGCCGCCGCCCAGGTTTCGTACGACTTCTGCGTCGGCCCGCCGGCCTCCGACTTCTGCGGCACCGCAGGCGGCGGCGCGTGCGAGCTCCCTGACGGCTCGCTGCTCTGCTGCTCGGGCAGTATCCCCTGCGGATCGAACAACGTGTGTATGTACGACGCGGGATTAGGCATTGCGTTGTGTGATTGTCGAGGGAACTGCGAGCCGGGAGGGGATGGGTTGCAGTGTGCTTGTGTAAGTTGACCCTGAATCCAATCCTCGAAAGACACGAATAGGGAAGGGGGTCAGGACTGGATGGGAAGCCGAATCTGGTCGAGGAGGACCTGACAGTGGAGAAAGACGAGAATTGACGAGATCGGGGAGTGTTGAGGTGAGTTGATAGAGATGGCTAACATTCTGGCGTTATAGGGCAACTGAGGCACCAGTGCGAGATTATGACCGGGACTGCGTCTCTGTCCGTTCTGGGGAGATGAAGTGAAAACCGCTCGATGACCGGGGACCCCAACCTCAACTTGGACACAACCCACCGAAATGCCCTTCCACCGAGATTTGCCTCGCTTGGTCTTCTCCTTTCGTGGTCATCCATACACAATCATGAACCCCGGCTCGATCTCAGCACCCACCTCCATCTGGTCAAGATAACACCCAGATCATCGCATTGGCGTCTATGGAGTCCACAACACCTTAGGCGGATTCAGGTAGTCCTCTATCTCCTGTCTATTATCTGCTCAAGCCGACTCGGCTGCAAGGGATAGTGCAATACACATATCTTATGCCTGTGAGCGTCTCCGTTGATATAGTGCCAGTCTGATTAGTGAGGCGAAGAGCAACTTGCGTGGTCAGTTCGTAGAGAGCAGAAGAGCCGCATGCTTGTCTCTTGCCTATGAGTTGCGCTGTTGAGGTCTTCTAACTCTTGAGACGGTAGTAGTGCTGACTATCGGCCCTATACAAGAGGGCAACGGGTTGTCCAGACGTCGCCATATTATGTGTAGTGTGCCTCGACTTGTCGCAGAAAATGCATTCACATGTGTCTGCAGTTGCATCAATTCGGGCCAGAGGGCTTAACCTCGAGGCCGCTCAGGGACTGTCAAACCTCTCCTTCCAGACGACCGTCTTAGTACTGATAGTCGAGCCAGTTGGGGACGAGCGTCACTTGGGCTCCATATATCGCAGGTTCATATCCATGTCACCAGGCAGTTCTTGAGGCAACGGACGACGTGGGTCGTGGTACATTTCATGTCGAAGGGGCGATAGTGCCAACTCACTGTATGGCGACGTTGGCTGGAGGCCGTGCTGGGGCGGGAGATGCGAGTGGCGCGCCTTGACTGAGAGCTCGGCACCAGGTGAGACCGCGCTATTTGATGGCACAGACGCAGGAGGGCAACTAGGGTAAACTTCCATCTCGTGCTGCGTGGGTAGCTTCATATCAGCATGCGGGATAGAATGCGTGTGTATTCCGTACGCTGTGCTGGGCTTGCTGTCCAACTCTTGCTTCGAGTATCGGTGTCCCGGCGTATACGGTATGGCACTGATGGTCTCGCGCTTCTTGCTCTGCCAGCGTCGATAGAAGCAACAGTACCCGACAACCAGACCCGCGCCTACCACGACGAGCGTGCCTCCGACGCCAATAGCGGCCGCGACACCAGGTGACAGGCCTACCGAAGAGTTCTTCGCAGAGGGGGTCGAAGTGGGGCTTGGTGATGGGGTTGGCGTTGGAGTGGGACTTTGGAACTGGAAGTGGACCGACTGTGCAATGTAGTTGTTGCCGAGCGAGATGGTTTGGACGTCGTCGTAGAACATCCAGGTCCAGGAGTCCCTGCGTCTATGAGCCCGTGCACTCTTGATAATGTGAGGGACAGCTTTACCCATCTGGTGGCGGTTGACTCAGAGTGATGGCTGTGGATCCATCATCTATCACGGCAACGATACAACGCTGCTCGCTCTTCAGTGTCTGCCCGCTATATGTGGCGAGATAGATCGCAAGCTCCACGGCGTCAAACCTAGTGTCGAGATCAGCTCAGTCGCTACGAATAGAAATCATCTCAAAAATACTTACTCGGACGTTGACTGCCATTGCACGTCAAGGGGACCCTTTGTAGGATAGACAGTTCCGATCTTGGGATACGTGATCTCCAGAGCCGCGACGTGGAGCAAATGGAGGAGGACCAGGAACAGTAAATGGAGCCTCGTCTCTGACAACCGAGGACGGATGCGAGGATGAGTAGGTCGGTACATCCTAGCAGGAACGTGGTGGGCTGTGCTGTGCCACAAGGCTGGAAGCGAGACTGGGTTTCACAGACAATAATAGACAAGCCTTTGCCTCGCCAACCTCGCCTCGCGTAGAGAGATATTGGATCTGAACTGTAAGAAATCGCGGGCAGACAAGCAGAGGAAATATGAATGCCTCACCGGGCCCCCAAAGCGATGTCTGGGTGCTAGATGAGTTTCAGAATGCGCCACTCAGCCATCTTGGAAATTGCTCCCTTCAGCTACCATTAGAGGCACAGAACGCGGGTCGGCGAGTGCCCTTAAGATTGTACCTCATACTCTTAGATAGTCAACGGTGCTTACCGACTCGTACTGGTTCTCGGTACATTTGAAGATGCTGGTCCAGGCATGTGGAAGAAAGGGTGTGATT